TGAGGCTCCATTTTCCCTCTGAGACCATATGCTTGGAAGCTCCATCTTACAAAGGCAACATCTTCTCTGAGCTTCATATTGCTGGGGAGTTCCATCTTGCCTGGTGCTCATCTGCTCTGAGCTCCATCATGCTTGGAGCTCTGTCTTGCTCAAATCCCATCTTCCTCTGAGCACCATCTCCTCCCACGTGTTTATTTGCAGCACACTATTACCAATGAGAAAGACATGAAACCAATTCATATGCTTATCAATGATAGACTGCAAAAAGAAAATATTCTACATATATTCCATAAGAATACTATGCAGCCATAAAAAGGTATCTGATCAAGTCCTCTGCACGGACATGGATGAAGCTGGAAACCATCGTCCTCAATGATTACAGAGGAACAGAAAACCAAACATGAGCTCCATTTTCCTCTGAGACCATATGCTTGGAGCTCCATCTTACACTGAGCAACATCTTCTCTGAGCTTCATATTGCTGAGAGTTCCATCTTGCCTGGTGCTCCATCTGCTCTGAGCTCCATCATGCTTGGAGCTCATCTTGCTCAGAATCCATCTTGCTCTGAGCACCATCTCCTCCACGTGTTTATTGCAGCACTATTACCAATAGGAAAGACATGAAACCAATTCATATGCTTATCAATGATAGACTGCAAAAAGAAAATATTCTACATATATTCCATAGAATACTATGCAGCCATAAAAAGGTATACGATCAAGTCCTCTGCACGGACATGGATGAAGCTGGAAGCCATCGTCCTCAGCCAAGTTACAGAGGAACAGAAAACCAAACATTTCATGTTCTCACCCATAAGTGGGAGCTGAACAATGAGAACACATTTTAATACTATTACATCCTCTGAAGACGCTCTCTGTTCCCTTAACAAAGGATATTTGTACTTTGTAATTTTTTCTCTCTAAAGGATTGTAGCTTTTCCTGTCTGTGCCAGTTTAGGGTACAGGTTGACTACCTCACCTTGAAATGACCCACTCCATGTCCACACTTGGTTGGTCACTCCTGTGAACTGCTTGTTCACAGACTCTTAACACCTGTGAGTCATATGAGGGGAAGTGACCTCACATAGTATCGCACCAGGAAAATTACCAACTGAAAGAATTACTGAAACAAAGTGTGTGTCTGGTTATTTCAAAGAATAAACAGGAGTCAGGTGATGGTAATAACATCTTAAGGTGATGTCAGTAGTATCTTAGATGACCAAGAATAATCCTGTGGGCCCCAAGAACATATTACAACACGGACTATGCCAGCAGAAATCTCACCCATCAGACAACAGCAAATGACGCTCTGGCTCAAATGTTAAATGTCCTCTCTTGGTGTGTGAAAGCACATGACCAGCAGGAAGGAAAAACGTCAGGGAGACAAAGGCTTTGCTACATATCTGTGGGCTTCAGTCTCCAGTGAGACACTCAGAGCCTACATCTCCTCTATTACCACTGCTGCTTTTATTGTACAGCACATTTCCATGTATGTTTCATTCTATTTTTTGAATTCTGTATTTCATTGTTCTCTCAGTCTAGTTATGAATCATCACACTTTCAATTTCCAAGTATTTACAATACATGAAATGAAAAGTTATTTTTTATATTCAGACTTTCATGGATGTTTTTGTTTATTCTTCCTTGCAATACATTTTCTTATCTCCAGAGCATAATCAGATAGTGGCTATATTGGAGTAAAGCTCAATTTATCAGTTGATTAAAGAATCATTGATCTCTTCATACTGTTAAAAATACTTTTCTAAAATTGTGGTTTCATTATTTTTTATTTATACAAATCCATTTCATATTTTATACATTTTTACAGCAATCTGATTTGGTTAAATTTTTAAAATATACTATGCTGCAGAATCCTGACAGTGTCTTTTTACATCTATGACCATGAACACATGGCATTCTCATGAACTCCATGAATGTGGCTAATAACATCAGTGGATTTCCTAATGCTGAATCTCACTTGCACTCCTGCCATAAAGGATGTCTGGTCATGCTATAATACACTAATATGCTGATACAATGGCTTCTAACATTTATAACTTTCACTTTTATATCCTTATGTCCTATTTGTAGTAGTCTGTGTGCCTCAATCCAGTTAATGATCTTATATCCCCTCATATACTCTTCCAAAATTTTGGGAGTATAACTCTTATACCTGCTTTATAACTCTTACACAGTTTAAGTGACACTTGTTTACTGAACTTTTTTTGGTGGGGGGATGGAGTCTCACTCTCTTCCCCAGGTTGCAGTGCAATGGCATGATCTCGGCTCACTGCAACCTCTGCATCCCAAGTTGAAGCTATTCTCCTGCCTCAGTCTCCCAAGTAGCTGGGATTACAGGTGCATGCCACCACACCTGGCCAATTTTTGTATTTTTAGTAGATACAGGATTTCACCATGTTGACCAGGCTGGTCTCAAACTCCTGACCTCAAGTGATCTGCCCGCCTTGGCCTCGCAAAGTGCTGGGACTACAGGCATGAGCCACTGTGTCCAGCCGACTGAATTCTTGTATACTGGAACTTATTTCTGTATAAGAGTTCTCTTTTGACAGATATCTCTGTTATTTCTATTATTTCATTCACATTTACCCCTGTTGAGATAGAGATTTTAAACTGATGAACCACCCAACTGGTACTGGGTTCATAATATTGTTAATTACAATAAAAGTAGGTATTCTTTCAGAAAATCAAGGTGGAAAGCTAAAAAAAAGAAAAAGAAAAAGAAAAAGGAAAAACACACCTACAAGAAAAGAAAACAAAACTTATACACTGACCTTCTCCATCCATTAGTGGCATAAACACAGAAAGATAACCAAATGGACCAAATGAGGGAGCCAGATAATCAGACCAAATTACATCAACACATTTTTCAGAAACACACCAAAGGCACCCAAGTTGAGAAACCTGGATATTCAAGTACAAAGGACTGAAGTAAGACCCTTATGTTACACAAAACACAAATATCAACACAAAATAGACTGAACACCTAAGTCTAATCCTGAAACTAAAAAAGCTCCCAAGGAAAAAAAAAAAAAAAAAAACATAGAGTGAGTGTCTATTTTGGGGAAACTTGAATCTGTGCACACCAGCTGCAAAAAGAAAAAATTAGGGAGAATATACCCATAAACAATGCAATGGTTTTACCATCTCCATTTTTTTTTATTTCCCAATGGGACACAGAAATAACTGCTAACAAAAGCAAATATAAATATGTTAGACAAAGGACAACTTTAAAATTTTGAAACAAGGAGAAAACAATGAACCCAAAGAAAAGGCATCTCACAGATTAGGATAAAATCATGGAAAGTCAAGTACCTGAGAGGAACTGTTACCTAACATACATAAGAAACTAAAGATACTGCCGGGCGCGGTGGCTCACACCTGTAATCCCAGCACTTTGGGAGGCCGAGGCAGGCGGATCACAAGGTCAGGAGATCGAGACCACGTTGAAACCCCGTCTCTACTAAAAATACAAAAAATTCGCCAGGCGCGGTGGCAGGCGCCTGTAGTCCCAGCTACTCAGGAGGCTGAGGCAGGAGAATGGCGCGAACCCGGGAGGCGGAGCTTACAGTGAGCCGAGATTGTGCCACTGCACTCCAGCCTGGGCGACAGAGAGAGACTCTGTCTCAAAAAAAAAAAAAAAAAACTAAGTGAGTAAAGAGACAAAACAACTAAAACCTATATTTATCCAAACAATATGCTACTGGCATAAAAATAGAAAGGAAACCCAATGAACAGAATGAGGGAGTTCTGTATGCCATCCAAATGTACAAACAGTGAACATGTTTTTCAAAAGGACACAAAAAGTCACAATGGGAAAAGGAAAGTCTGTTCAATAAACGATTTTGAGCAAACTGGATAGCCACATGAAATACAGAGAAATGGGACAAAAGACCTAAACTCATTCTTGAAACCACTTACTTCCCTTAGGAAACATAGGGTGAATGTGTATTTTAGAAGACTAATCAATGCACACAAGTTGCAAAATGTAAAATATAAAAATAGAAAGAAAACAAAAATTAGAAGAAAAAACCCATAGACAATGCAATAGCTTGGCAATCTTTTTCACTGTTTTTAATTACACACAAAAGTCACCACTAATATATACATATGTGGGACTACAAAAAACATTGGATCTTATGGAGGGAAAAGAAAACAATAAACCAGAATAGAAGGCACCTCAGAGACTGGAAGAAAACTATGGAAAATCCTGTCTTTGAAAGGGGTTGTTATAAAATATGTGCAGGAAACTAACACCACCATGTGGGGGAAAAACAAATACAGAAACAAAAACAAATGTCGAAGATAAATCTGGGCAAAGGACCTGAAAAGACATGTCTGAAAAGTAGATGTGAAACTGACTCAGATAAAAGAAAAGTTTCTCAAAAGCTCTAATCCTCACAAGAATGTCAAGGAAAACCACACTGAGATACCACTCCCATCCACATAGAATGAATGTTACCTAAAACAAAAATAAAAGTTTGAGAAGGAAACAACTGGTATACACTTGCAGAAGGGGAAACTCTTCTCATACACTATTGGTGTGAATGTCAACTTGTACACACACTAGGAAAAACAGCTGGAAGTTCCTCAAACAAGGTAAAAACACCATTTCATCTAGCCATCCCACCATGGGCTGTACATGCACAGCCAATGAAACTCCTATGTGGAAGAGATACCTGCCTTGCCCTGTGTACTGTAGTACTCACAACAGCCAAGATAGGAAATACCCCTACCTGTTCATCCATTGATGAAGGGATGAGGAAACTGCAGTATACATCCAGAACAGAATATTCTTCAACCATAGAAATGCAGCCATGTGCAAAAACCTGGGGGACGTTATCTTAAATAAAATGAGCCAGACAGAGAAAGGCATATACTGCATAATCTCATGCATGTGGAATCTAAAACACTCGACCGCATAGAATTACAAAGTTCAACAGTGGTTACCAGAGGCTGGGGAGAAAAGGGGGCCTAGGCAGGAATTGGTAATAGGTATGAGGTTACACTTAGAAAACAGATCAACCCTGCCCTTCTCTTCTGTAGCAGAGTGACTAGGGTTAATATTGTAGCAAATTTTCCAAATAGCTGGAAAGGATTCTGAATATCCTCTCCACAGACAAATAATACCTAGAGGACTTCATAGATGCTAAATATTATGATTTGATCAATATGCTAGGTGTACCTATATCAAAATGGTCCCTGCATCCTCTAGTTATATACGTATACTCTAGGGCAATTCTTTTAAAAAAAGTCAACGATGCTAAAATTCACATGGAACCATGAAACACCCTGAATTTCTAAAGCAATCCTGAAAATACAAAGTACATGGGATAAATCACTGCCATCTATTTGAAATTATATTAAAAAGCTAGTTATCTAAACAATAGATGACTGGCATTAACCAAGAAACCCAAACCAACAGACAGAACGAGGGAGCTCAAATCACAAACCCAAATTCCTAGGTAGAGTAAACATTTTGTAAAAGAACACCAAAAGACAGAACGAAGAAGGGAGAATCTGTTTAATTAATTGCTTTGAAAATTGGATACCCCTATGCAAAACAAAATAGGGCCCCTATTGTGTAACAGGCGCAACAATCAACTCAAAATGAATTAGAGACTCATACACAAAACTTGAAAGCATCAAGTACCTCCAATGGAAAGACAAACAATGTGGGTATATTTAGGTCAACGTGGATCTGTGTTCACAGTGTGCCAAAACCAAACAAAAAATACAGGGGGAAACTCATGGGTGATGGATTAGTTTGGTCATAATTTTGATTTTCTTCATCCGTCACCTACATCACAGGAAACCAAGAAAACAGACACATGTAGGACTGCATCACACTCTAGAGTTTGTGCCCAAGCATATTTAAAAAAATCCATGAAGAAAATAAAAAATCATCCTGAGGTTTACAAGAAAGGATTCAGCAAACATACATCTGATAAAAGGTTGCCTTCAAAATGCCTAAGCAACTAACACCACTTACTAGCAAAAACACAAAAATTAACCTACAACTACCACTTCATCTAACAATTCTACTACTAAGGATACTTTCAGTGCAAAAGAAATCAGTCATGTAAGAGATATCTGCCATCGTATGTGGACTGCATCACTATTCGCAATTGCCAAGATAAAGAATAAACTTACCTGCCCATCCACAGGTGAAGGGATAAAGTAACTGTGGTGGATACACACAAATAGTCTTCAGCCAGTAAAGCAGAATGAAATTTCATCATTTGGAGCCATACTCTTGAACCTGCAGGACATCATGGCAAATGACCTAAACCAGGCAGAGAAAGAAAAACATTGCCACATCTCACTCATGTAGAATCCAAAATAAAAGGCTTTATTGCATAGATCTAGAGGGCACAATAGTGGTTACCAGAGGTTGGAGGGAAGAGGGGGCATGGGAAGGGATCAGAAATAGGTAAAAAGTTACACTTAGATGAGAGGAATAAATTGTTCATCTCTGTTCCACAGCACAGTGACTAGAGATTAACACAACATCATACCTTTTTCACAAAATCCGAAAAAGAAGATTCCAAACGTTTTCACCACAAAGAAATTAACAACTGTTTGTGATAACAGAAACTCTTGTAAATGCAAGATTTCAAATGTTTCACCACAAAGAAATTAACAACTGTTTGTGATAATACTCTAAATATCCTGATTTTATCATTCCTCTGTGTCTGTATTAACCAAAATGCCACGATCTAACTCCCCACATTGTACACCTTTACTATATGGCCAAACTTTTAAAAAAATATGTAAACACACAATGCTAAAATTCATGTGGACCACAAAACAGCCTGAATTTCCAAAGCAATTCTGAGAAATCCAAACGACATTGGTTGTGTCACACTTCCCAATTTTAAATTTCATTGAAAAGCTAGGGACCCCCTTCCACACAGAGCAGTGGAACAGATTAGAGGATCCAGACGTAAACCCTAACACGCCTAACACCATCTGATCTTCAACAAAATCCACAAAAATAAGCTTTGGAGAATGTACTTCCTCCTCTCAATAGATGGTGCTGGGATAAATGGCTAGCCAGTTGCAGAAGAAAAACAGTGGGGCCCTGTGTCTCACTGTGTACAGAAATTAACTCAAGTAAATGAAATATGTAAATGCCAGACCTCAAACTATGAAAAGCCTGCAAGGGAACCCAGGAAGTACCCTTCTTGACAGAGGATTTGGCAGAGCATGAATATGCCTAAGTCCCCAAAAGCAAGTGTAACTAAAACAATTATTGACAAGTGAGGCCTAATATACAAAAGAGTGGCTGCACAACAGAAGAGATTAACAACAGAGTAAATAGACAGCTTACATAATGGGAGAAAATGTTCCCACGTATGCATCTGATGAAGTCTAATATCCAGGATCTACCTCAAACATGTTAAGCAAATAAATCAGCAAAACAAAAACTCAATGAAGAAAGTGCAAGAGGCATGAAAACACACATCTCAAAAGAAGGTTTACAGCAACCAACAGACAGGATAACATTTTTCTAACTTAGTAATCATCAGAGAAATACAAGCAAAAGGCCCATGAGATAGTATTTCACACCAGTCAGAATGGCAGTTATGACACAGTCCACAAGAATGACTGCCAGTGAGGTAGAGGAGGAGAGGAATGCTGGTCTGCTGTTGGTGGAAATGCAAACTACTTTGGACACCATGGAAAGCAATGTGGGGATTTCTCAAATAACTTTCTTGACATCACTAATACAAAAATGCCCAAGAAAACCACACTAAGATTCTGCCTCATTCCACTCAGAATGACTACTACCAAAAACAAACAAAACACAAATTTTTGAAGGTGACAGCCAGTGTACACTTACAGAAGGGTAACCTCTTAAACACAATTGGTGGGGATGTAAATTAGTATACACACTATGAGAAACAGCTAGAGGTTCCTGAAAAAATTCACAGCACAACTACCATGTCAGCAAGCAGCCCCCACCACTGGTTCCACATTTGAAGCAGCTGAAATTCCTAGGTTGAAGAGAGCTATCTGCCTTTCCATGGGTACCAAAGCTCTCGTAACTGTGACCAAGGTACAAAACGAACCTATCTTTCCATATGCGGCTGCTGGAATGAAGAAACTGCCATATAGATACACTACAGAATATGTTTCAGCCATAAAGCTTTGGGAAATCCTGCCATCAGCAGCCACATGAAGAAATCTGGAGAACATCAGATCCAATGAATGAGCCTGATAGAGAAAGTTCCATGCCACGTGATCTCAGGCACGTATACTGAAAAAAGCTTTATCTCCTAGAAGTAGAAAGTTCAATAGGGATGACCAGAGGCTGCTGGGGAGGTGGAGGCGGTCTGGGGAGGAATCAGTAATGGGTACAAAGTTACTCTCCGATGAGAGTAATCAATTCTGGTCTTCTATTCCATAGCAAGATGACTAGCCTTAACACAAACGTATCATATATTTCAAAGTAGCTAGAAGAAAAGATTCTGAATGTTGTCACCACTCAAAAAATAATAACTTTATGAGGTGAAGAGATGCTAAATAACCTGATTTTATCATTACTCAACATATACATGTATCAAAATCTTCCTGGTACCCTCTAGTTATATACATTTAGGATATGGCAGATAGTAAGGCGAACATCACACACCAGTGCCTATTGTGGGGAAGCGGGGAGGGATAAGGAGATATACTTAATGTAAATGACAAGTTAATGGGTGCAGCATATCAACATGGCACATGTATACATATGTAACAAACCTGCACGTTGTGCACATGTACCCTAGAACTTAAAGTATAATAATAAAACAAAAAGAAATATTTTAAAAATGCCAAAATTTACGTGGAAATGTGAAACACCAAGAATTTCCAAAGCTATCCATGAGAAATACAAACCATATGGGATGCATCACATTCCCTGAGTTCTAATTAAGTGAAAATCCCTAGTTAACCAACTCATATGTAACTGGCATACACGGAGAAACAGACCAGTGAGCAAAATGAGGGCGCTCAATAATAAACACAAATTTCTAAAGAGTGAACACATTTTTCAAAACACCACCAAAATGACACAAAGGGGAAGGGTTCCAAAACTAGATATTCATTTTCAAAATAATAATACTGGACTCTTATGGTACTAAATACACAATAATCAACTCAAAAGAATTAAAGATTATACACAAAACTTGCAACCATAAAGTTCCTATGAAGACAATCTCAGGTGTGTGTATATTTAGGGCAACTTGGATGTATGCTCATGGTTTACAAAAAGTAACAAAAATACAAGGGAAAAAATCATTGACAGTGGACAGTTTTGGTAGGGATTATGTTTTTCCTTGATTAGTAACCAACAGCATAGCTAACCAAGAAATTGTACACATGTGGGACCACACCAAACGGAAAAGTTTTTGCCCAACAAAGGAAACAATGGACACAATGAAAAAGCATACCGAAAAATACAAGAGACGTAGTTTGGGCAAACATATCTCGGATGAGGGGTTATTTTTGAAAACGTACAAGTCAGTAATACTACCAGCTGGCACAAAACAAACAAACAAACATAAAAATAACCAGACCAAAATTGGGCAAATAATCTGAGAAGATATTTGTACAAAGAAGACAGGAAACTGACCCAACATTTACAAAAATGTGGTTAACATTCCTACTCATGATAAAAATGTAGATCAAAACCACACTCAGATCTTATCTCACTCCAACTAGAAGGAACATTACAAAAATATTAAAATATTTAAAAAGACAATTACTGGTATCAATTTCCAGAAAGGGGAACTGTTTGTGGAAATGTAAATTAGTACTAACACTATAAAAAAAAAGTTGGGGGCCCTGCAAAGAATAGAAAAAAAAAAAAGAAATTCCATACCATCTAGCATTCCCACTACTGGGTATACGTTCAACCTACCTGTTCATCCACAGATAAAGGAATCAAGAAACTCTTGTACACATACATGAGGGAATATTCTTGGCCATCAAAATAATGAAACAGTGTCATTTAGAGCACTCCAGACAAACCTGGAAAACATTATGTTAAATGTAATGAGCTAGGCCTAGAAAGACAAACACTGCATGATACCGCTCGTGAAATCTTAAGATGTTTATCTTCAAGTAGAAAGCACAATATTGGTTACCAGAGTCTTGGAGATGAGGGGGAATGGGAAAGGATTGGTTATGGAAACAAAGTTATCTTAACATTAAAGGAATACATCTGCGTTCTCCTCCTCAGCCTGGTGACTGGTGTTAATAATACTATATTTTTCTAAAAAAGCAAGAAGGGAGAATTTTGAGTGTTCTCTCCACACACACACAAAAAACACCTGTATGAGGGAATAGAGATCCTAAGTACCCTGATTTGATCATTACCCAACCTATCTGTATGAAACTGTACCCTTAACTATGGACCTTCATGTTGTAAAAAACAGTTAACAGAAATAAATATATATTGCAAAAAATCACAGGGAACCACAAAAGTAATGAATATCTAAAGGAATTCTGAGAAATACAATCAAAGTGAGGACCCACAATCATCGATACCAAATTAAACTACTGCCAAGTCGTAGTTACGCAGCAGATATATGTTACTTGCATAAAATCAAATACCTAGAACTGTGGACAAAAACAGGGAGGAGAAAAACACGATCAACACAAATATGGACATAGTCAACTGACTTTGATAAAGAACACCACAATGTGGAAGGCAGAGTCTGCTCAATGAATACCTTTAAGAAAAATGATATCCAGATGCAGAAGTAAGAAATAGGACCCTTATTTTACACAATGTATGAAAATCAATCCCCCTTCAAATTGAAAGCCAAAACAAAAGACCATAAGCCACAAAATGTTTTTAACTACAACACAGGTTGAGCATATATTTTGGGTCACTTGAATCTTTGCTCACCTTTGCAAAGAGGAAAAGAAACAAACACCCTGGAAGAAAAACCTCATTGACAATGAACTGCTTTGTCATTGATATATAATTTCTTATATGGGTGACCAAAATTACACGCATGGAACGCAAAAAATAAACATCGGACTACATCAACCTGAAAAGTTTCTGCACAGCAAAGCAAACTACTTTCCACAGAGAAAAGCATCCTATAGATTAGGCAAACATTTCAGGCAATCATGTAATTCACGAGGAGTTGTCGTCTAACGTGTACACAAAAAACACTACAAGATAGCAAAACACTCCAATCTAATATTTCTCAAAGAACCTGAACAGACAATTCTGCAAAGACATAAAATCAAACAACAGATAAGAGATAAGGTCCTCAAAATTATTCATTAGAATACTGTCATTCGAAACCACACGCAGACAATCTCACACTTAATGCCTATTCCTAGAAAACTTATAAAAAATAGGAGGGGCCAGGAACAGTGGCTCACGCCTGTAATCCCAGCACTTTTGGAGGCCGAGGCTAGCGGATCACCTGAGGTCAGGAGTTTGAGACCAGTCTGACCAATATCGTGAAACCGCGTCTTTACTAAAAATACAAAAATTAGTCAGGTGTGGTGGCAGGCGCCTGTAGTCCCAACTACCCGGGAAGCTGAGACAGGAAAATTGCTTGAAACCGGGAGGCGGAGGTTGCAGTGAGCTGAGATGGCGCCACTGCACTCCAGCCTGGGAGACACAGTAAGACTCCATCTCAAAAACAAAACCAAAAATAGGAATGAGGGCGGGGTTTTGGAGAAAGGGCAACTCATACGCTGTAGGTGGAAATGAAAAATTAGGATACACATCATGGAAAACAGCTAAATAGCTGAAGACTCCTCAAAGAATTGAAACTATAGATGTTCCTTGCCCTAGCGAGGTCTCTTTCTAAAGGTCCTGAGGCATCAAAAACAACCATAGGCCCCAGTTCAGAGGCCCGTGGGACTCGGAAGGACCCAGGTCCCGCGGTTCACTGCTGCCGCGGCCAGGACCCCACAACACCCCCCAAGTGGACGACTGGGGCCCAGATGCCCAGGAAGAACTCAGGGCCTGTAGGAGGGAGTGACAGGGAAGGAGCAGGGAGGCCCGGAGGGTTCCAGGTGGGGACCATGCCCCCCCACTTACCGCTGAGACTTGCCTCCTCCTCCACCATCACATGGAAGCCACCAGGGCTTCTCGAAAGCTCACTCTCACCACGCCGCCGCTGGCGCCTCGCAAGAAGCGCAGTCTAAGCTTCCGTAGGCGCACGCACGCTGGCAGCGTCCCTCCAGCCAGGCTGAAGCGCCACCCCCTCTTAAAGGGGCCGCAGCTGAGACTGGCCGGAAGCGGCTTCGGGTTGCGGGACAGGCTGATCCTCTGCCCAGCCCCAGGGGTGGACGAAAGGACACCAGTCTCTCATCCTCCCTGGCTCTAGGGCCCTAGAGGTCACAGGAGCGCTCCCTGTGACTCCGGCCCCAACATAGGCTCCCATTGCTTGAGGAGTGCGCGGCACTTGCCCCTGCCCACTTCTGGACCTCAGCTTCACCATCAGCAAAGGAAGCGGCCTGGCCAGAGCTCTGAGTTCTCTCAAACTCCGAGCCTCGGGATTCAGGGTGGGCTCCCCTGCCCCTCTGCAGAGGGGGCCCAGAGAACCACAGAAAGCTGAGAACTGGAGGGACAGTCCGGAGGGCAGCAGGGCCTCCCCGCCTCGCTGTTTGCATTCATCCTGTGGGAGCCTGGGGTCTCACTAGGGCCTAGACACCCCACCAGTGGCCTCACCAGGGCTGCCCGGGTCACCGGACTCCACGGGAGGCAGGCAGAAGCCCTGGGGTTTAGCGCTGCCCCCACCTCAACTCCATTCTACGTCAGTGCCCACGAGGGGCCCTGTGGAGTGGACCCAGGCCGCCCCTTTCCGGGGAATGGGACCTGCATCGGTCTCCATGACACCCAAGGGAGGGGCCGTGCCGACCTTTCCAGGGAATCTGGGGGTGAGGCGGGGGAGTCCTGGTCACCTCTTGAAGCTCGCTGAGCCGCCCACCCCAGAGAGCTCGCAGAGAGCTCACACATTTTCAAACTTTCATTTCCATTTTCTCCTCCCAACCCCCCAAAAATAAAAGACGTGTGTAGCTTCGTCGCCTGTACATCATCCATTCCCCAGGGCCACGGCGTGGATCCAGCCCGCTAGCTGCCTCAAGGGGCCTGGGCGCCTGGCGGCCAGCATGCAGCCCGGGGCCTGCCCAGGTGAGGTCTGCGGACACTACAGTGCCGAGGTCCCTCCTGGCTGGGGCACACGGGAGGCTGTGGGTGCTGGCTGTGAGCTCCTGGAAGGTGGAGCTGGAGGGTGCCCCAGGCCCTGGCTGCAGAGCTCTTGATGTCATGCCCAGCGCCCTCCATCCACTGCCTCGGGGCAATGCTCCGGAGCCCCAGTTGGGGCAAGAAATCTATCGCTTCGTCCTTTATTCGTTGGAAAAATTCAAAAACACATCACGATCCCCGGAACAATCACTGTTTACAGGCGGTGGCTCGCGCCTGTAATTACAGCACTTTGGGAGGCCGAGGTGGGCGGATCAGAAGGTCAGGAGATTGAGACCATCTGGCTAACACGGTGAAACCCCGTCTCAACTAAAAATACAAAAATTAACCAGTCATGGTGGTGGGCGCCTGTAATTCCAGCTACTCCGGAGACTGAGGCAGGAGAATGGCGTGAGTCCGGGAGGCGGAGCTTGCAGTGAGCAGAGATAGCGACACTGCACTCCAGCCTGGGCGACAGAGCGAGACTCCGTCTTAAAAAAAAAAAAAAAAAAAAAAAAAAAAATTAAAATAGGATTGTAAATGCCACACTGAAATAAGCTTTTATAAAAATGGCAGTCAATGGAAAACAGGTTCAGAAGACAGGAGAGATAGGGAAAACAAGTAAGTTATCTGACTGAAACAGAATTAGAAATTAACAACAGAAAGAAATATTGAACATCTGAAAATATGTGAAAATTCAACAACTCACCTCTAAATCATTGGATCAAAAATAAAATCACAAGATAAATTGGAAAATATTTTGAGCTGCACTCTAGTCTGGGTAACAGACTGAGACCCTGTTTCAAAGAGAACACAGCAAAACAAACCTCAAAAAGCTATAAAATTAAATGCCAACTTTCTGCTGTCCCCAAACGCTCCGTGGCTCTCCATGCTCTCAGAAGCCCATTCTTCTCACTTTGGGCTCCAGGATCTAGGTAACCTGGCCAGTGCAGACCCTATCACCATCTCCTCCTCTGCATGCAGCCTGGGGCCTGCATCTGGAGGGCTGTCTAGTCTAGGGGAGACAATGCTGGATGTATCTCCTGCCAGCCCCATAGGGTCAGAACTAGAGGGGAAGGAGGGGGACTGTGGGATTCCAGAGGAATTGCAGGGAGGGCTTCCTAGAGGAATGGGGTTTTTTTGAACTTAGTTTTTGTTTTTGTTTTTGTTTTTGTTTTCTCTGTAGCTCAGTCTGACTTGCAGTGGCACAATCACTGCTCACTACAGCCTTGACCTTCCATGCTCAATTGATCCTCCTGCTTCAGGCTGGGACTATAGGCACATGCCACCACACACAGCTAATTTTTTGTAGAAATGGGGTTACACCATGTTATTCAGGCTGGTCTCGAACTCCTGAGTTCAAGTAATCCTCCTGTCTTGGCCTCCCACAGTGTTGGAATTACAGGCATAAACCACCTCATCTGACCTGAGCTGAGTTCTGAAGTGTGAATAGGAGTTGGCTAGGTGAAGAAGGGAAAAAAGGCCTTCTAGACAGAAATATTTATCAAAGATAGAGAGAAGGAGACAGGAGTTAATTAGGGCAGGGTCTTTGAATGCCAGGCTGGGAGCGGGAATTTTCTCACAAGGCCAGTGTTGAACCATGGAGAATGTGTGAGCAAAGGAGGCCATGATTAGAGCTTGATCACTTAGGGGCAAGAGTGTGGGACAGTTTGGTTCTTGGGTGATGGGATCAGAAGAGTTTCAGTGTCATGGGGGGTCAGTAAAGACCCACATGAGCTCATCTCTACCTGACACCTCATGCCAGAGTTGGTGGAGGAACTCCTGATGTATAGAGTCCAATAAGCCCTGGGATCCAGTGACTTACAGTGTGAGGTACAGATCAGTACAGAAAGGGTACCGCCCCAGGCTCTGCTCAGATGGACAGAGCCCTGACCTCATCTCCAGCCTCTTCTCCACCCCGGCCCTGATAGTCCTGCTTTCCATGGTAGCCATGGGCTGTGTGTTAAAATGACAAATCAGCCCCGTACCTTCTCTCCTCAAAACCCTGTTATAGCTCTTCTTTGATCTTAGACTAAAACCCAGAGCCTTCCACAGCTCAGAAGGCCCAGAGTGGCCCAGTCTGTCTGGGGAGCCTCTCGCCCTCCCCACCCACTCCAAACTCACTACTGTTTCTCTCCCTCCTCAGGATCCTTGAACCTGCTGATCCTTCTGCATGAAATTCAATGGTTAGTGATGTATCCTGTAAAACTTCCTTTTCAGTATGCATGGTTTTCATTTCTTTTTTATTCTTAATTTATCTGGCTATGACTTCAGTGTTTCGTTGAATAGAAATCATGAAAGCAGGCACCCTTGCCTTGATCTTGATCTCATAGAAAAGACTTTTATTTTTTACCACTGTGTATGATGCTAGCTGTGGGTTTAAAAATAAATAGCCTGTCTTACACTGAAGTAGTTTTTGTCTTTGTCTAGTGTTTTGGGTAATTTTTAACATGAAAATGTGTTGAATTTTATCAAATGCTCCTTTACTATCAATTGAGATAATCATATATAGTTGTTCCTCATTCTGTTAATGTGGTATATGTCATTGATGAGCCACCTTTGTGTTTTTGTAATAAACTTAACTTGACCATGGTGCATAAAACTATTGGTATGCTCTTGTTGGGTTTTATAGCATACTGTTAAGAATTTATGAACCAATATTCATAAGGGACATTGGTCTGTGGTTTTCTTTACTCATAGAACCATTACTAGGGTTTGGTAACAGGGTGATGCTGGCCTCAAAAAGTAAGTTAGGAACCATTTGATTCTATTCAACTTTTTGGAAACATTCAGGAAGATTATGGTTAATTCTTTAAATGTTCAGTTGAATTTATTAGTAAAGTCTTCTGGTCCTGTGCTTTTCTTTGAAAATTTTGATTTATGATTCAATGTACTTACCAGTGAGTTGTAACTTTATATTAATTTTCTATTTCTCCACGGTTGCACTTGGCAGGCAATATGTTTCTAGGATTTTTCTTGTTTATTGAGATCATCCAATTGGTTGGTGTTCAAGTCATAATACTCTCTTATAGTCCTTTTTATTTCTATAATGTCAATGGTAATATTTCTTTTTCTATTTTTTTAGTTAGGTACAGGCTTTTTTATTTATTTGTTTGTTTTGGTTATTTAGCTGAAGGTATGTCGATTTTGTTTATCCTTCCTATTACCTGTAGTTTTGTCGATTCTCTTTATATTGTTGTAATTTTTATTTTGTTTATCTTGGGCTGTAACCTTTATTACATTTTCTTATACTAGCCTTGGATTCAGTTTATTTTTAATGCTTTCTTAAGGCATAAAGCTATTCTGTTGATTGAAGACTTTCCTTATTTGTAAAGTAAGCATTTCGAGATAAAATGTCCTTTTTACCATGGTTTCACAGCACCCAATACATTTTGTTGTGTTTTGTTTCTACATTAAATTATATTAAGATAATTGTCTAAATTTCCATATAATTTTTTCTAGGAACAATTTGTTACTTAAGTGTGTTATATAACTTTCATATGTTTTTGAATTTCCTATTTTTCATTCTATTGTTGATTTTTGCAATTCCTACTACTGTGTTTGGAAGAAATACTATAGGTAATTCCAATAATATTTAATCTATGAAGACTCTTGTACTCTAGCATGTTATTTATTTTAAATAATAGTCTATGTACAATAAAATATGTGTGTATTCTGTTGATGTTGGGCAAAGTATATTTTGTCTTATATTTTAAAATCTTATTATAAATTTTTGTGGGCACACAGTAGGTACATATATTTATGGAATACATGAAATGTTGTGATACAGGCAAGCAATGCTTAACAATGACTTCATGGACAATGGGGTATCTATCCTTTCAAACATTTATCCTTAGTGTTACAAAAAAAACCAATTATACTCTTTTAGTTATATTTAAATCTACAGTTGAATTATTAACTATAGTCAACCTGTTGTGCTATCAAATAGTAGATCTTATTCATTCTTTCTATTTTTTGTACT